GGAGCGCCTCCACTTGATCCATGATTGGCTTGGAATCCACCATTTTGAAGTCGAGAAATTTTGCCACCGCATATTTCGGACATCCAGCGTCTTCTGATATGTACTTCTTGGCTTAAGATCCAACCTCTGCATACAAAATTACCATGGGTCCAGGCTTCAACAATTGCCAAAGTGTAGGCATCTGTGTTTCCTTGCGGAACGACTGGTGGATCCTCATTGAGATACTTATCGAACTTCGGCCGGAAGACCCATTCGACCAACACAACCAACACGACCCCCGCCCGTGCCTAGCCTGGCCTGGCTTGGCTTGGCTTGGCGGCGGCGCGCGCGAATGACTTGGTCCGACCTTTCACATGCATACTTTAAGTGTTAGCCATTTTGAAACCTTGCTAATCTCTTTTTCCTTATATAGTGAAGTGTTTTTGTTCACAATTTCGATGTGGGACAAACTCCATTTCTTTTCTCACATTATTTTCTCTCTATTCACGTGGGCTTGAGCCCTTTTTTTAATCTTGCTCATATTTTCCAAAGCCCAATATCTTTCAAAATTTGGACGCAACAGTTGCTTGGATGACACTCAATGCCTGCGGTGATCTCTAACTCTTCACGGTCGCATATTCTTGCTATTACAATGCCACTCCTATACATAAGGTAGAATTTGTTATACAAGAATATTATGCACTTTTAAAGGTCCATTAATTCCCTGGAATAGAGTATAAATCTGGTTAGTATAGTGACAAGCGGCTGAAGATGTAAAAGAAAGAGTGGTCGTAGATAAAAGCAAGATTGAAATAATAGAACTCGAAGAGAGAAAAAACAAGTGGAAGGTGTAACGCCCCCGACCGCCTTTACCGGCGAGTCACCCATCCCTCCATCGGGCTCGTGGGCCCTGCTCCTGTCCGACGGTCAGTGTGTTATTTATCCCGGAGCTCAACCGACTTATTTACTGACCCTGCAATCACCACATGATTTTTCCCCGTGTTTTGGCTTCACTCACACGGTTTCGGAAATCACTTCCCGAAAAGTCACCCATCCCAGTCCTGCTCCAGCTCAAGCACGCTTAACTGTAGAGTTCTCTCAAAACAGTGACTGAAAAGATAAGTGCACTTTGATGACATAGGTAGCCAAATTAATCCAATTAAACTTATTCAAATGGGCCGGGCACGGGTCGTTACAATTCTCTCCCACTAACGGGAATTCGTCCCCGAATTCTGATCCCGACAGTGTGAGCCTTAACCCCCAAACCCTAGGACAGTCTCCTGGACAGAACCAGTTTGACTCTCCAGGCTCTTATACGACTAGTAAGGCCCCCGACCGCCCCTACCGGCGAGTCACCCATCCCTCCGTCGGGCTCGTGGGCCCCGCCCCTGTCTGACGGCCAGTGCGTTATTTTTTTCCGGAGCCCAGCCGACTTATTTACTGACCCTGCAATCACCACATGATATTTTCCCGTGTTTTGGCTTCACTCACACGGTTTCAAAAATCACTTCCCGAAAGGTCACCTATCCCAGTCCTGCTCCAGCTCAAGCACGCTTAAGTGTGGAGTTCTCTCAAGACCAGTTACCGAAAAAATAAGTGCACTTTGATGATATAAGTAGCCAAATTAATTCATTTAAACTTATTCAAATGAGCCGGGTCCGAGTCGTTACAGAAGGAACCAACAAAAAAAAAAGCGGCATACAAAAGAGAAAAATAGAAGTGTAGAATAGGGTCACAAAATGTGTAAGAAGATGAAAATGTAACCAACATATAGATGTTAAGTGTGTATGAAAATAAGTGAATCGAATGTAATAAAAAGTTCGCGATTATGAGGGGAAGGAGAAGAAGAGGAGATCTAATGATAAGGTTAAAGCTCATAACCTTCTGACAGTAAAAAAAATAGCAATTGAAAAAGATAAAAAGAAAGGATTTATTAAAGTTTATGTTTATTTTATCAAATTTTGCATTCAAATTTATGTTCAAACTAATTTGCATTCAAATTTGTGTTCAAATTTCTGATTACGAAATGCAATAAACACAAAATGCACACAAAGAAGCAAAGTCTCACTCATTGGACGAACTTGCTTCTATTTTCTATTACAATACAATAAAACCAACTATTTATAATCTCTACACACATAAAAATACATAAAACAATATATTGTAAGTACAATATTATATTTAAAATTCAAATTTTAAATTAACAGAATTCAAAATATTAATAAAACATTTATAAGTAGAATCCACGGCGCATATAATCCAAATATTATTTTTTTAAGTTAAAAATTTCAATGGAAAGTTGAAGTTAAATCACTATACAGTAGAATCTCTATAAATTAATACTCGATAAATTAATAATGACTATACATTAATAAATTTTTGCCGGTCTCAAGTCGGGCCAGTGGAAAAATTAGCAAATTTCGATAAGATAATAAGATAATAATTTTTTTGAAACTCCTATGTAAAAATATAGTCCCAATAATTAGATAAATTAATAATTATACATTTAAACATATATAAATAATATAATATAGTAAAATATAATTATATTATTGTTTCAAGTTTATAAAAAGTGTTTGACTTATTTTTTAAATTCACTGATATGATATTTTCTGAATAAATTTTACATTATTGAAAATAGTTTTTTTGTTTTTGACAAATATTTTGAATTTGAACTGAAATATCTCTCTATATAAGTCTATAGATTAATTAATATCTCTATAAATTAATAAATTTTTGAAGTCCTAATATTATTAATTTATAGAGGTTTTACTGTACTTTTTCTTCTTTTTACATGCGAGCAAATTTTAATAAAAATGATTACACCAAAAATAATTCTACAAATGTCTTTACTTCTTTATTGTAGGATATTTTTGTAAGCTTTTCTCACGACGTTATCATTAAATTATGACACATCATTAAACTAATTTTATTAAATTTAAGTTTATTTTAGTACTTCGTTTATTATGTTTTATGTTCTTTACTCCTTCAATTCTAATAATAACTAATATTTATTAAGATAATAGATTCAAATAAAATATGAAAAGTTATTTAATCATAATAGGTAATATATATTGATCTAAAAATTTAATTTAATAGTTTTAGTTATTTCGTAATTATAAATTTAAAAATATATTAGTTTTTTTTAATTAGAGAAAAAAGTTTACTATAAATATGCTATACACTTATAATTGTTATAGGAGAGAAACAAATATATGCATTTTCATACTTAGAAATTAGTGTTCGAATGAACTGGATTCCAAAATTTATGAGAAAAAATCTGGTAAACATAACCTTTAAATAAAAAGGGACAAAGTTTTATAAAAAAAATTACAACACTTAAATTAAAAAACATACATTAAAGAATATCGAAGAAAAAGAGTTTAAGAAAGATAAGTTAATGTTAAGTTAAAACTATGTTAAAATATTTTTCGTAGTTTAAAATACTATGTTTATGCAAGAACAAAGGAGAGAGGGAGAAAATTTATGAAGAAAATAGGTGAATGATAAGTTAATACCGTGCCAAAATGTTATTCGTAATTCAAAATATTGTGTTTACGAGAGAGAGAGAATCGTTGAATATGTTTATTATTAGAAATGAATCTAAACAAATATTAAGTTTATAAAAATGATTGATATTATATAAATGAACATCCGACTTAAATTTAAGAAGATAAAAATATACATATTGTTTGGGAGTAAATTTTAGGATGCCACGTGGGGGGTCATGATTCGTCAGGGATGGAGCCGGATCTCCGAGTTTCGTCCTCTCGGGAGAAAAGCGGCGAATCGTTATTCCGGGGTGGAAGCTTCCTGTTGCGAGGTGGCAGAGCATCTATCGTATTCGATCCTGCAAGCACTTAAACATACGTCAAGCGAGCCTTTGGAGAGGATCGAAAGGGGGTTTCCCTCACGAAGGTTCTCCGACGCCCAAGTTAGTGAGCACCCTACCGGGAACAAGTACTTGGGGGGGGGGCACCGGATATAAAGGCGGGGTTCCAACTCGGGGATAACTTAACCTGGTCGGCAATCACCTGGGAGGGACGTGGAGTCCACCCTTGATCATGCTGCATGGCCGGGAATATTGTCTCAGACGTCGGGAGGCAGGCTTCTCTGATCGTCCTCCCCCTCCTTTTGGAAGGGTTCTTCTTCTATTTATATTCGTCATTCTCTTGTTTTGTACCCTCCGAGCCCCGTACCCGGGGAGCAGATGGGAGTAATCATTCTGGCGTGTTAGGGTTAGCCCGCCAACTGCCTCTGTACAGTGCGCAGGAGTTGGTCGGTCGAGCTAGTGTGGCGTGTGTAAGCGGTCGATGTAGCCTAGGCCTACGTGGCGAGTTCTCCTTCGTTTCGGTAAAATGGGTCCCAACACATATAATTTTAATATTTTTTTAAGTTTTAAATTAAGAATTGAGATCAAAATTAAATATGTGACTTTTAAAATTTTGTCTATAAATATGTGTATTAAAAATTTGATATGTAATATTAATTTTATAAAAGCAAAATTAAGGTTTTATAATTTATTTTACTTTTGTACTTTATAGCATATGTTTTTTGATTATTTATATTTTATTAATACACATCAAAATGTGAACAAGTAAACTTAATTTTATATAATTTTATATAACTATATTATTAAATAGCATATAAAATTTCGCGGGAAATACTGATCACACCCTAGTTGGTATATATATATCAATCATTCTTTTAGTTTTATTGTATTACGTTCCTATCTCTACTAGAACTATAGAACTGCCCTCTCGTTTTCCCACTTGACGAAGTTTCAACTTCTCTTAGTCAACGAGAGCCAATGCAATGATTACTTAACTATATTACAGAAGAGAGTGACCATACAACTATCATCTAACGAATCTCTTGACCAAGACACACGTCATACGTATTAAGCCATTTCACCAACCTCGATTGTTCAATATGATCTTCATTATCAAGAAAACTATAATAACTCTCTTTCTATTTATATAGCTTGTCTCTTTACCTCATTGAAGAAGAAGAATCAAGAAATGACGGACTGGGTGCCGGCAATTGTAGCGACGGTGCTGTTCGTGATTCTTACGCCGGGATTGCTTTTTCAGGTTCCCGGCAATGATAAGTTTGTGGACTTCGGGAAGATGGAGACGAGCGGATACTCAATCCTTCTTCACTCCTTCATTTACTTCGGCCTCCTTACTGTCTTCACTGTCGTCATCCATTTTCCTGGAACTTAATTTCTACTCTTAACTTACACAAATCTTTCTTCTTTTCTTATATATTTGCTTTTGCCTATCTTCTGTTATATTATCAGCTTTTTACCAATCTTCGTGTCTCTATGTGTATTTATTATGATAAAGTATTTACTTTAGATGAACCAAATGAAGAAAAAAAAAATGATTCCCCGTAAAATGGGCAATGCATAAGAAACCGGTTTCGAATCAACACACTAATCATCATCATCATCTATTACTAATAAAAGTTTATATGCTAAATGCTTCTAAGGGTGTCCACATAGGAATTAAAGATTCAATTCTATTGGTACACATCATCATTATTTTTAGTTAATTATATATTGTATATTAAAATTAATTAATTCGTTTTAATTGTTATAAAAAAATTTTCTAAATTTTAATTAATTTTGTTTTGGTTGTTATTAGGAAAGTTTCCAAATTTTAAGTTAGTTTTTAATAAAAAAGAGTTTTGAAAATAGATCTTCTTTTTTTATTAACAATAAAAAAGTAAATTAACATATAAATAGATTATGAAAGAAAAATCATATATATTGAACAAAATTATTAAAATCTGTATTTAAAAACCATAATTAAATTATTTGAAAATTTTAATCACCACAAACAATTAAAATCTGAACTGCTAACTTAAAATATATTAGTTGTGGTCCGTGTTGATGTCTTAGGCCAATGAGAGCGTCCACATAGGACATATATACTCAATCTGATTAGTCTATATTAGCGTTTTTCATTAAAGTTAAAAAATAAAAAATATTACTAATAATCTAAATAAATTAAAACATACAAAAATATAAAATTATCACAATAGAATAGAAAATTAAGATAATTTTTTAACTAAATAAAATAAATTTATGTCAAAAGTCTAAATCTATTGTGAAAATAAAATGGAAACTCATTGTCACAAAAATAAACTAACAAAAACAAATATGTAAATCAATAATGAAAAAGTTAAATTTTAAAAAAAATTAGCATATATATTTTAAATGAGTAATTTATTTAGAAAACATATTAAGATTAAATTTTCATATAATCATATAAAATTGTTATTTAAAAATATCAATACTACCAAAAAAATATTCATCCTAAATTATCAAAAAAGAAAGTCATCTAAAACTTATAATTTTTGGGGAAATATTTAAAAAAGTAACACAAAAATCTTAACAAACCAAAAATAATACTTTATGCGAATTACTGAAGAAAGCAATATAAAAAATGTTTAACTAACAAAAACCAAAACATAAATTATTTCTTACAACATGTCAATACAATTAAAATAAAAGTCCATATCGAGAAAGTCAAATTAAAAAAAAGGATATTAACTTAATATCTATGTTATTTATTTAAAAAAATCAATAAAAACAAAATAAGTAAGAGAATAAAAAAACTTAAATAATACTAAATAACTTAACTAACAAAAATAATATAAATAGTTAAGCTAATTATTTAAGAAATCAATATTAAGAAATTAATTAACTAAAAAACTAAAACGAAAATTAAGTTTTACAAAATATTATTTAAAAAAAAAATTAAAAATATATTGACTTGATAACTGACTAACTACTTAAAAAATTCATATAAAAATATTTAACTAACAAAATATTTATGTCTTCAAAATATCAATATTTTTAAAACAATGGTGTGTTAAAATAAAATAAAAATCAATATCAAGAGAGGTAAATTATCAAAGAAAAAAGTCGTATAAAGTAAAATTAGCTTGATATTTAGGCTAACTACCATACAAATATTAACTAAAAATACAAATGATGGTATAAGCTTTTGAGAAAAGTTCACTTAAAATTTAGAATAACCAGTTATAGCATGTCAAAATAGCATTTTAATTAATTTAAAAAGTAAATTTTAACAAAAAAAACATTTATGTAAAAGATATTAGATTAATATATATGCTACCTATTTGAAAAATCAATAACAAAAGAGATTAATTAAAAATACATATGTGTAAAGTATATCAAACCTGCAGAAAATTAGATAATTAAAATAAAATATAAAATTACCATCGAAGATATTTAAAATAACAAAAAACAAGATCTAAGAAGAAAATTAGTTTGAAATATAGTTCCAAAAACATTCATGATTTCTAAAATATTGGTGTTGACTATGAATAACCATATAAAGTTTTAATAGGTTATACAAGTTTCTAAATCAAACATATTATTTAAATTTACAAAAGATTAATACCTTGGTTGCGTCTGGTTGAAAAATTAAGAAAGTAAAATACTACACAAGTAGCTTTACATTCAAAATATAATAAGAAATAAAGTCTGATTTGTATATATATTTATTGCTTATAACTCAGTCTACATGAACAACACATGAGCAACATCCTCTAAAATTTTATTTAAATAATATAATATGACAAAGTTATGAATCAAATTCAAATGGGAATATATGAAGATACAATATTCAAATCAAAACATGAATAAACACATAAAAGATACAAAAAAAAACAGTGATAATGTGAAGTCTAAATATCATCTTACATGTTTAAAAACAAATATTAGTAAATAGTTGACTGCAAATAAAACAGATCTTATAAACTGAATAGAGATATAACCTAAAAGTCGTAGCAGATCTGGTGGAGAAGCAAAAAGCAGCTTTACACGATTAGTGTAGTTTACTAACAAAAGTAAATCTGAATCAATATATATCATATATTATATATGCATATGTACACAACATTAGTGAGATATTTAGTAAAGAAACTAAATATTTAAACATATAAACCTTCTAAAAAAAAAGAACTACAGAAATCCTAAGGATACAAAACAAAACACCAAAAATTTAGTAAGAAAATCATTTTCTAAATCAAACATATACACATTGAAGTTGGATAATTCATTAGGTGTCATTACTATGATTTTACTTAATAAGATTTATAATTTATAAACAAAAATAGGAAATACTACATATTATCTTTTAATTTTTTTTATATAAAAGAAAATTTCTATAAATATATTATAGTTTTGATAATTTAAAAGATATTAGACAAAAAATTAAACCAAATTATTAATACTACGCGCGAGTTAAAAACCTAGTATAATATATATAAGTTGATGGCATAGTGCATTGAGGGCGTCCACATGGGATTAAAAAACTCGATCTGATTGATTCACATCAGCATATTCATTAAATAAAAAAATGTTAAGTATGATTAGGACGAAAAAACTTGATTTAATTGGTCCACATCAGCTTTTAAATCAAACCAAAAATTATTAAGTATAATTAAAACATTAAAGTTAATTTAACAAATTATGCCCAACAAAAAAAAGTAAATTCAATCTGATTGATCCAAATCAACATATTTATTAAATCAGAAAATATTAATATTGTTTTAAAATTTTAAAGTTAAATAAAAAAATTAACAATTAACAATACATGTATACAAAAAAGTAACCATTATCAATTATCAATTTAAAAAATCTACAAAAACTCGATTTAACAATTAAAATAATGAAAACTGAATAAAAATATAACATAAAACTCTTGGAAGACATGATGTAGAAGGAAAAAATGGTTTTGCATGATCATTATAGCTTTATAGCAAAATTAAATGCGAATCAATATGAATCATGAATTATATATACAGTGGTACACAATATCAATAAGACGTTCAATAAAAAAAAACTAAATATTTAAACACATAAACCTTCAAAAAAAAACTATAGAAATTCTATGGAAAACAGAAAATAATACCAAAATCTTAGCAAGATTATATTTCTCTAAATCAAATGTATATGTATGTCAAAGTTGGATAATTCGATAGGTGTCATTGTTATTATTTTACCTAATAGTTTTTTTAAATTTATAAATAAAAATAGGATAAATTACATATTATATATTAAATTCTCTTATATAAATGTAAATTTCTATAAATATATATAATTTTTAATAATTTTAAAGATAGTAGCTAAAAAAAAATCTAAAATATTAATAAAGACTCGCGCGTAGCGCGAGTTATATACCTAGTATAATATATAAAAGTTGATGATATAATGCATTGAGGACGTCCACATGGGATTAAAAACTCGATCTGATTGGTCTACATCAGCATATTCATTAAAAAAATGTTAACTGTGATTAAAACACTAAAAAATTAATTTTTAATTTTTGTAAAATATTAATTTCGTTTGTAGATAAAAAAAAAAGCGTAACTAACAAATAAAAATAAAACAATATTAAAAAAACTAAAATATAGTATTCTTCAAAATTAAATTAAAATTTAATTTCAAAAGAGTTAAACCAACAAAAAAACCAGTAAGGTGAAAGCTAAAACTTATAATATAGATTATAAACATTTACAAAAATATCAATTTCGTTTTACAGATGAAAGAATCAAAATAAAAATATTAGGTAACAAAAAAAGTAATGTTAAAAAAACCAAAATATAGTATTCCTCAAAATTAAATGAAAATTTAATTTCAAAAGAGTTAAAATAAAACAAAACCAATAAGGTAAAAGCTAAAACTTATAATATAGATTATAAAAATTTATAATTTAAAATTTATTGACAAGAAAATAAAAAAAACATAAAATTACGTTTTGTAGATGAAAAAATAAAAATAAAACCCATGTTGCTCGAAAAATAAAAATAAAAAAAAAAAACTTTATTAACAAATAAGAAAGAAAATAATGTAAAAAAAAACAAAATATAGTATTTATCAATATTAAATGCAAAATATAATTTCAAAAGAGTTAAACTAAAAAAACTAATATCATAAAAGCAATTTAACTTGATGTCTAAAACAAAGAAATTACCTTGAAAATTAATATAATAATTAATATACAAACAAATTTAAGAAAGAAAAAGCATGCATATAAAATAAATTAACTTAATTTCTATGCCACATACTTTAAAAATCAACAACAAAATGGCTTAATAAATAAAAATTAAGTCTTCAATATATCAAACGTACAAAACATTTATATAAATTAAAATAAATATAAAAGTACTATGAAAAGATGTAAAA